TGTGCTGGTGCCTGTGGAGGCCACCAGAAGGCATGAGATATCCTGGAGCTGGAGTCACAGGCAGTGGTGAACCAGCCCGTGCAGGTGTTGACACCTGAACTTGCCAGATCCTCAAGAGGTCCCCGTTACCGAGCTATTTCTCCAGCCCTGGGTTAGTGTCCCTGATTCTAGAAATACAGAGCAAAGGTAAAATCCCATGTTATCAGTACGCAGGAGAGGAATGGCAAGATCATGTGGTGGGGTGGCGTATGTTTTTCGAGAGTCTTTCGATGGAACAAGGTGTGCTGGCGCATGCCTTTAATGCCAGCACTGGGAGTTTTGGGGAGTCAGGTCTCTGTGAACTCGAGGACAGCAGGATTACATGGTGAGAGCTTGTCTCTAACAAACAAAGAGTTCTTGTATGAGTTTATAATGTCATCAGCAGTACATGAGGGTCCCAGTCCTTCCAAATCCTGTGGACACTTGAAAAGGATTTTCGGTTATTTTAGTAGGTGCTTGGTGATGGTGTACTGTGACCATACTTTACATTTTCATGATGGTCAGTGTGTTTCCATATCTTTTCCATCCTAATTTTCTGTGTGTCCTATTTTGTGAAGTTATCTGTATAAGTCTTTTGTCCAATAATGCGTTCAACTTGACTTTTCTCACTCACTGACTTTTCAAAGGTCTTTGTATGGTCAGGAGACAAGCCTTTTGTCTGATATTTGATTTGCAAATGTTTCCTTCTGTTCCACAGGGTTTTTTTTGTTTGTTTGTTTTTTTGGTTTTTCGAGACAGGGTTTCTCTGTGTAGCTTTGCGCCTTTCCTGGAACTCACTTGGTAGCCCAGGCTGGCCTCGAACTCACAGAGATCCGCCTGCCTCTGCCTCCCAAGTGCTGGGATTAAAGGCGTGCACCACCACCGCCCGGCTCTGTTCCACAGTTTGTATTTTCAGAATCTTTTGGGCCAAGACTCTGTATGAGGTTTGTATGCGGTTCTGTTCACACAGGTAATCTCAAATACCTCCACAGGTTCCATTTATAACTAGGCTTGGCTCCTTTAAGCTAGGCTCAAAGGCTGAAATGCCTCGTTCTAATTCCCGTCTTGAACCACAATCCTGAAGTGTCTTTGGGTGTCCCTCAGGTATATGATGTACAGCCTATCCAAAACCGGGCTCATCATCCTCTCCCCAACCCCAGCCCCCACAGAAGCTGCATCTCCACAGATGGCAGAGGCTCCACCAGCTAAAACCCAGGAATCAGAATGACAGTCTTCCCTCTCAGGTCGACTTCTTGTCATTGAGGACTTCCAGTTCTTCCTCCTGAACATTCCTGGACCCTTGCTGTCCCCAACACACAGCACAGCCCCATGGCTCCTACCTGCTCTACACTTGCCCAGACAACCTTCCTTGATTCAGATTTCTCCAACGCAAGCCTGCTCGCGACACCTCTGCTGAGTTCCTTCCAATGGCTCCGTGTGTGTGTGTGTGTGTGTGTGTGTGTGTGTGTGTGTGTGTGTGTTTAGATAAGGCCTGGGTTTAGATCTTGATGGTCAGTCTGGCAGGTTCTAGAATCACTGAAAAGACAAACTTCTGGCACGTGTGTCAGGGATTATCAAGATCAAATTAGTTAGGGTGACTAGACCCACTCTAACTGTGGGTGATGCCATGTCATGGCCTGAGGCCCTGGACTACATAAAAAGGAGAAAGCAAGGTGAGGACCCGCCATCATCTCTCTGCTTGGTTGCTGACACAGTGTGGGCAGCTTTCTCGGGTTTCTGCCACCGTTCTTTCCCCGCCGTGGTGACCGGTGTCCTCAGATGGTGATCTGAAGTGCCCCCGCCTGCCTGAGTTTCATGTCAACTAGTTTGCTGTAGCAGCAAGAAAAGCAACTCGGACATTCGATGACCTCGTCCCTCCCAGTCTCTCTTTGCACATTTTTATTTTATTTTACATGTGTAGGTTGTTCAGCTGGAACCTCCAGCTCACTCCTGCTTGATCCAGAAAGCCCCATTCCCCTCTCCAAGCCCACCCTCTCAAAGACTCTCCAACAAAGGCACCAAAAAGCCCAGTTCCTCATTCTTGATGGCTGTGGCAGCTCTTCCCCTGAAGTTGCCAGCAGCCCCAAGACCCCACCTAAAGTGCTCAGCTTTTGACCATACTTGGGCACAACCCCAGCTTGTGGAGGACACGTCGTCACCCCCTCGCCGACAAGGAATATGAGCTCCCTGCTTTAGTTCGGGCATGTGACTTCTCAGGGCCCCTATCTCTGGGACTAGAGGACTCACCCGGGAGTTGCTTTGATCAAATAAACCTGTTCTTTTACTTTTTCAGTTTGGCTTGATCTGGCTCACTGTGTCAGTGGAGAAACCTATTATCTCATTGCTGAAAACCTATTATAGGTGTTTTGTCTGCCTGTATGTCTATGCACTACATGCATGCTTGCTACCTGGAGAGGCCAGAGAAGGCATCAGATCTCCCAGAACCAGAGTTACAGGGGGCTGGCTGTGAGATACCATGTGGGTGTGGAAACTCAAACCCAGGTCTTCTGAAAGAGCAGTAGTTGCTCTTAACCAGTGAAGCATCTCTCTGCCCGCCTCCTCTTCCCTTTCTGCCATTCTTCCATACCACCACAACAGTACACATGGATGTCCTGGATGATACATTCAAGAGTATGGGGGCGGGCGCAAAACAGCTTGACCACACAGCTGCCATGACAGACTTAGAGGCCCAGACACAGCTTCTGTGACAGGCTTACTGGCAGGCAACACCCGGATCCAGGAAAAGCCATATGCTGACCTCATCCAGGGAGGGCCTGAATCTAAGGGGAAATACTTGACATTTCAAACAGTCCCAGCATACCCCTATACGCCTAGATAAATGTCAGCCAGTCAGAGTCCTGAACCCTAAAAATCCCCTCACCCGAACCTCTGCTATGATTTAAAAAAAAAAAAACAAAAAACCTACCTTCCCCGGGCTCGGGGCTCTCTGCTCTCACTGCTGTGTCAGACAGACAGAGAGACAAAGCTCTGAGCTTGAAATAAAGGCTCTTTGCTTTTACATTTGGGATTTGGTCTCATGGTGGTCTTTTGGGTTGTGCCCTGCAATCTGGGCACAACAAAGAGCACCAACAAACTGAAGAGAGAAGCTAATGCCAGTTCCTTGTCAGCATGCTCCCAAGTTATTGTCCGGTTTCTAACTGTGAGGATGGAGCCTGGTTATACCCAGGAATTCGGAATTGTTGATGATTACAGAGCTAGGAAGAATGTTGTCAGCCTCACAAGCAGGCTAAGCAGACATGGAGTAGTCAGCCCCAGACCTGATGTGCAGCTCAAAGACCTAGAACATGGCAGAGCAATCTGCTCGCATCCTGTCAGTTTGGCTCCAGTGCACTGACAACCTCAGCCAGCGCCACGGACTGTGAAGAAGCAAGACAAGAAGTCGCACCTGAGGGAAGGAAAACCCTCAGGTTCTTTTTCTGGGGGTGTAAAACTTTCTTATAAATAAAATGCCTCAGTGGGGAAAAAAAATCTGTAAAGAAAACATAACTAAAACAAGGCCCATAGTACTTCTTCCTGGGACAACTAAAGCCTCTGATGATCTATTTGGACCTTAATTAATTTAGGAACCTCTTTCTCAGAGCCTTTTATGTCTTCATATGCCAGGGGACTTGGGGTGTGGTTGTGTGAACATTTCCATCTAAATGCCTGCTCGAGGGACTTGAGATTATTCTTCACTACCCCATCATGCCTACCCCACCCCCTTCTTTTTCCTAAAACAGGGCATGGGACAAAGGTGCCGCTGAGAGAAGGTGAAATTGGTACCGGAGCTGTTACGGTCGGAGCCTGAGCCCTGGCATGCCTAACAAGCTAGAGTTGTCCATATCTGCCCTCACTGTGCCAATTAAAGAAATGCAGAGTAAGACTTCTCCAATGTGGCCACACTGGGAGGAAGAACACATACAATGTCCGGTGACTCCCCGTGAGGTTTAGGTTCTCAAACAGAAGGCACGTGGTATGCGTACCTAGGCAGTCCTGGCCAGGGTATGGTCCTGCACATTACGAATCCACCATTGCCTCAGTTCCAGTCTCTACTACAAGGTAGTCTTGTGGGCCCCGGGCCCCGACTGTGAGTGGCTGCTGTCTTGCTTGTCGACCTTGACCAGATGTCCTCCCTATTCAGATTCCCTGCGGGTTTCCTTCTCACCTAACGATCACCGGAGAGATCACCGGAGGTTCTTTGTTCCTGTATCCTACATTTGGTGTAAACAACTTAGATGCAAGAATGCAGAACATTCAGTAGCAGGTAGCGAACTTCTGCCCTCCAGGGATCTTCCATTGTGTTGTAAGCCTGTATTTAAGGTTTCCTCCCTCTATCAATAAACGGCATTTGGCATTTGGCATTTGAGCCATGGCGAATGACTCGCTGTCTCTTGTCTCTATTTTTTAATCCGCAGCCCCTAGCTCAGACATGGTGAACGGGTATCAGTAACGCGGGCGTTACCGCTACATAGTCTGACCAGTTGCCAGACTGATAGTAGAACTGTGTGATATCTCTTCCTGGGAGACAAACTCCTCCTCTGGCTGGCACAGGCTTCAGCTTTATTCCTTCCCCCAGCCCAAGATTCCTGGAGAAAAGCCCCATAGCTGAAGAGGACACGTGTCTTTCTACAAAGTATCTTCACATCTGCCAGGACTGAGAGGGTCATCTTGGGCAAAACCACTCCTAGCCTTTAGGCTTTCCTCACGAATACAACAAATGTATGTCAACGGCAGAGGACAAAAACTATTGGTTACCGTTCACCAGGATGCTTTCTGTACCACTATGGGGTGCCTGGACTGGAGGCAGAAGCTCAAAGCTAGGATGCGCTCTCTCCGGGTCTGGCTAAGCCCAGGATCACCCTGGAGCCAGCGAGAATCTCCTTAAACGCATACACTAGGCGCCCGCTACAAGAAGTACCTAGCAACGGAGCTGGGAACTTCCGGGGGAAGCAGGAATCCTCCTATTGGCGGTGGCTTAGTGACGTCATCACACCGCGACCGCTGTCCCTTGTTCCCTTAACCTCTGGGTGCTTGCAACTGTGACTGTCTGTGGCTTCTCCGCCTGCTGCTCTTGACCTGCGGCCTCGCAGGAGTCAGGTGACAGCGTAAGGCGCCGGGCGGGTCCGGCTGCAGCAGCCAGGTAAGCTGAAGCTAGACCAGCGCGGGAGGGAGGTGGACCCGGCGTTGGGAAACCAAGCAGCTGACCTCGGTTCCTGGAGAGTGGAGCTTGGCAGGGTCGCACACGCGGCCCTGCGCTTCAAGCTGCCCATTCCTGTGCTGTTTGCTAAGGGACCCTTGTGCTGTGAGGCATAGCGATGATTACAAAAACACAAGCACCACCTGGGTGGCTTGACCTCACTCAGTGCTGCCTTCTGGTCAGTGGGGATTGTTACAAAGATGGAATGAACCTGAGCGCGCTGTCACGAGGGGCCAGCACATTCCGTGAGGTTTGGGGTTATCAGAGAGCAGCCGCCTAGCCTCTAAGGTCACAGTCACTGGCCGCCCAGAGGCATGAATGATAACCATAGGCTGGTAGCAGTTAGGGCCTGAGGGGACCAGGCAAGATGAAACCTGATTGTTTTGCTTGGGAAGTACCTTGCTGCTTCAGTAGCATCTAGGTATGGAGTCAGACACCAGCACTTTCTTTTAGTTGTATGACCCTCGGACCCTAGGCAAACCCTTTACCCTATCTAAGCCTTGGCTTGTTCGTCTGTAAAATTGCCCGGCAGTACCTGCCAGCCACAGCCAAGAGAATTAAATCAGACATCGCAGGTGGAACACTTGGCTTTCCTTTCCTGGGGACAGTTACTGTCATTTTAGTGTGGCGAGTGACTGACCACATGTGCTGGGACAGCCTTTGGATGGTGGCATGGTGGTGCTTGTATAAGACAACAGAGGATAAAATGGAAAGCCTTTGGTTTTCTGGCCAGACTCGCCAGCTGGCACTGTGGTGATCCTGAGCAGGGTAGGTTGACTTGACCATGTGAGGACCAAGAGCCCAGGACTGAGAGAGCGGCTTCTACATTTGTTTGCATAAAGACAGGGCGTGCACACCTGGGCCTTGAGTGTTCCTCAGGTGCCATCACCTTAGTTTTTGAGACAGGATTTCGCATTGGCCTAGAACTCAACAGTGAGGCTAGACTGGCTGGCTATCGAGCCCAGGAATCTACCTGTCTCCACCTCCCCATTACTGGAATTACAAGCATGGACCACTGTCTACAGACTTTTTCACGTGGATTCTGGAGATGTAACTCATGCGTTCAAGGGAAGCACTTACCAGCCGGGCTGGCTTCCTAGCCCCATGCTGGTTTTAAAAGCAAGATACCCTGAAGGGGAACGACTGTGTGATAAGGAATGAAGACCAGACCTAAATTAAGACAAAAATAAGAATGGGTGGGGATGGAGTGTGGTTTAGCTGAGGTGTAGGTCAATTTAGCATGTGCCCTTCTGGCCTAGCGTCCATATCATAAAAACAAAAGAAACATAAGAATGAGACTTATCTTTAGGTGGAGCTTAGAACTCAAAATTAGCTCCGAACTTTGTTATTTTCCAAGAGATCTGGATCTAAGGAAGGAAGGTATGGCCAGCCACTTCCCAAAGTTGATGACCACTAGGTTCTTCCAGGAAGTGAAAAGTCAAGCCCCTTGCATCTTCATTGAACAGACCAGTGCAAGCTTGTGCTCCACGTGCAGCAGCAGCAGCAGCAGCAGCAGCACCACCACCACCACCACCACCACCACCACCACTTAGGCCCAGTAGTGAAAGAAACAGACATAGCTGTTGAACCCAGGGAGATAGCTGAGCAATGTGGAAAGGCCAGGTCTCCAGCCTCTAGGTAACCCCAAGTCTCCCCGTGCTCCAGCAGTAGAAAACGGGTGCTATTGGGGGAGGTGGAGGGCTCCTAGGCTAGAGCAGACTGGCAGGGGTTCTAGCTTGAACACATGAGCAGCAGAAAGTGTTTAAGTCAGAGGACAACAGGATCGAGTTAGTACTTCTAAAAGTTGCATGAAGCGGCTGTGAAGCCATTTCTAGGAGTAGCTATTTGCCCAATTTGGGGCTGATTCCTAGTCCTGCACATTTTAGCCCACGGTTGGAGGGCTTCCTCTCAAAGCTAGGTAGAGGGGGCGCCTGGCCATCTTCATAGCATCCTCTCAATATCAGGCTTGCGTACATCAGTCGCTGGTATCTGTCTCCCCAGCATGCAGGATGGCAGGGCCGAGTTGGCCTTGTGTGTCCCCCACTTGCCAGCAGTAGGACCCCTCAGGAAACACTGGTTGAGGAAAGGCTGGGATCCCTGGGGCTAGCTTAAAGCCCGGCGTGGTCATCTGTACTTGACATTTTGAAGTATAACAGGGTAAAATGACCTATGTGAGCACCTCCCAAGTGGCATGCTGGGAATGGTTGATGGGGCAAAAGAACTAAGGGATCTTCATACTGGTTCTAAAGTCCTTCTGTCTCCTGGGGCTGGCTTCTTGCCTTTTAGGCTTTGATGCTGAGCTCTGGTAGGAGGAGGCTGTTCTCAGCTCTGCTGCAAGTTCAGAAGAGGCCTTGTCAACCCTCTAGAGATATGAGACTGGTACAGTTCCAGACACCCCACCTGGAGGAGCCTCACCTGGGCCTGGAGTCAGGGATTGGTGGGGGAGTTGTAGACCTAAACACTTTTGACCCCACACTCCCCAAGACAATGATGCAGTTCTTGGAGCAGGGAGAGACTAGCCTCTCAGTGGCAAGAAGGTAAGTCAGTAGGCCGTCTTGACCTGGTTCCTCTCCCTCCTCCCGTCTCTCTCCTGCCCTGAGAGTCAGAATCAGCAGGTGTCTCCTTTGCAAAGGAGCAGACAAAGCCCACTGTTTTCTTTTTTACTTGTTCTTTTAGTAAAGAGCTAACAGGGTCTTGCTATGTAGCCTAGGCAGGCTTTGAACAAGAGAACCTCCTGCCTCAGCCTCTTGAATGCTAAGACTGAATTACAGGTGTATATGCCCATACCCAGCAGAAGCCTTAAAAATCTTGTATAAGAACACCCTCAATTTACAGAGAGGGAAACTGAGGCTCAGGGAGGATGATGAATTCATTTGGTTGTGGAGCTAGGACCTTACCTCATTATCTGCCTTCCTAAGAGGCTAAGTTCCCCCACTGGAGGGGCCTGCAACAAGGTCCCAAGAAAGGCTTCTTGGGAAGATTCGGGTGTGATTCAGACCCTCAGAGGACAGATTCCAAGTGTGTGCTAGAGTAACTAGGAGTGGCCCTGAAACCAGCTATGGAATCTGTCTAAGAGTCAAAGAACAGTAGATTTGTTTGTTTGTTTTCAAGACAGGGTTTCTCTGTGTAGCTTTGGAGCCTGTCCTGGATCTCACTCTGTAGATCCACCTGGCTCTGCCTCCCGAGTGCTAGGATTAAAGGCGTGCGCCACCACCGCCCGGCTCAAAGAACAGTAGATTAAAAGCACTTTAAGAAGGAGTTTTCACCCAGTAGAGTGGCAGAGATAGGAATGTTTGACAGCCCAGTGTTGGGGGCACTATGGTTCCAAATGGTCATTTTCTTAAAAAGGAGAAACCGCTTCCTTTCCTGTTATTAGGAACCAAGAGTGTGTCAGCAGTGTAGGAGAGCAGCCATGAGGAGGAGGGACTCTGTTCTAGGGGACAGTAATACACGGTAAACTGGTAAACTCCATGTTGTACTCTGTCGTTCATACACAAAACGATGACATGAGACGGGTACAAGCTGCGGCTGGTACAAGCTATCCAGGACAGACAGGAGTTGTCTCCAGAGAGGGAACGAGGGGCCAGAAGGGGCGAGAGAGACCTTTCCACCTAACTCTGCTTGTACCGCTCATATGCTTCTAAATGAACAAGAATTACCCGGGAAATAAACACTTGAGGAGTACCACCATGCTTTGCTGTAAAGGACTGTGTAGCTGGCTTTGAGTCTTACCCTGGGTGAAAGATCTAGACAATGCAAAAAGCAAGTCATAACTGCTGTGGGCCCTTCCCAGCTGCCCTGGGATTCCCAATCTGTTCCCTGCTAGCCCTTCTCCTGCTTGGTCTCTACAGAGCCCTGGCTACCCAGCTGCCAATCCTCCCTCGGTCGCAGGTGACCTTCCTGGCCCCTGTCACCCGGCCAGACAAGGTGGTATGTGTGGGCATGAACTATGCAGACCACTGCAAAGAACAGAACGTGCGGGTGCCCAAGGAGCCCATCATCTTCAGCAAGTTCTCCAGTTCCATTGTGGGGCCCTATGATGAGATCATCCTCCCACCAGAGAGCGAGGTCAGTGCTTCCCACCACCCAGGTGGCTGGGGTCCACCCATAAGGGTTAGGCCCCTAGAGCGATGGTTCTCAACCTGTGGGTCACGGCCCCTTTGGGGTCAAATGACTCTTTCACAGGGATCACATACCAGATATCCACATTACGATTTGTAACAGTAGCAAAATTGCAGTTATGAAGTAGCAACGAAGTAATTTTATGGTTGAGGGTCATCATAACGTGAGGACCTGTATTAAAGGGTCACAGCATTAGTCAGTGCACCACCCAGAAGCTAGAAAGGACTGCACTGTACTAACACTGCCCAGTGTGGGTGACAGGAGGAATTAACTGACATCTCTTCCAATCACAAAGTCGTTTTCTGCAGTGAAAGTGTACTAATAATATATACTAGGTAAAGCTGTCCATACACTGCTGCCCATGCTCTGGTGTTCCCATCTGGCTGCACGTTTTCCCACAGTTACCTGTTCAGCTGTATTTCTGCCACACATGCGCCTTGTCCTGGACTCCACCAAGAACACCTTTTCATCCGTCTTCTCCCTGACACATTTGAGGGTGCCACATCATTTCCTTCCTGACACTTTCTGAAGAACTGTTTCCTCCTAGGGTGCCTGGGCTCAGTTTGCCTCATGTCCTTGTGATGGTTATTTATTCTCTCAGCCGTAGCTGGCCTGTGGAGGCCAGAAGAGGAGGTAGCAGTCCCTGGAATTGGAGTTAGATACTGTGTGCATCTGATGTGGGTGCTGGGAACCAAGCTGGGTCCTGAAGGAACTGAGCAGTCTGTCCAGCCTCTAGTCAGTAGATCTCTCCCTCCCTTCCTCTCTATCCCTCTGTCCCTCTCTCTCCCTTCCCCTCTCCCCTCCCCTCCTGTCCTCTCCTCTCTCTCCCTCTCTCCCTTCCTCCCCTTCTCTCTCTCTTTCTCTCTCTCTCTCTCTCTTTCTCGCTCTCTCTCTGTTGGCTCTCACCTCTTGTTTCTATGCTGCATACCAGGTTAGCTGGCTCCCAAGCTTCTGGATGATTCTCCTCTCTGCCTCCTGTCTCACTGTAGGAGAGCTGGGATTACAAATGTGTGCTGCTGCATCCAGCCTCTCACACGTGTCCTAAGGACTGAACTTGGGTCTCAGGCATATGTGGCTAGCACCCCTACCTGCTGGGTCTCAGGCGTATGTGGCTAGCACCCTACCTGCTGGGTCTCAGGCGTATGTGGCTAGCACCCTACCTGCTGGGTCTCAGGCGTATGTGGCTAGCACCCCTACCTGCTGGGTCTCAGGCGTATGTGGCTAGCACCCCTACCTGCTGGGTCTCAGG